CAGTTTGTACTATCAATAGTGCTACAATGAACATGTATGCATATATGTATATATTTGTAAAATTTTCTGCATATATATAATTTCTTCAGTGCAGACATCTGGTATTTTAGTAAAACTACTCTGAATTTTTAAACTTTATTACTCATATGCCAAATTTCATCCAACCATTCTACCAATTTAAACAACCATCAACAATGGATGGTAGTATCTAGTTCCTAAGAACTTTATAAACATAGAAAATTATTTTTATAAAAATATATGTCATTTCTTAAATTTGGAATTCTTAATTATGCATGGAAATACAGAATTTTTATATTTCTTTTTTATAATTTTCTAATTAATAATTTTACACATTTTATTGGGTATTTTTTTTATATATAATTGATTCCTAAGAGGAGTTTTGTTGTTGTTGTTTTAGTTTGTTTTTAGATAAAGGATGATAATCCTTTACTATTACATGTCTCAAACAATTTATCTATCCAATTTGCCTTTTAATTTTTTAAAGGTATAATTCTAAAGTTTACCATTTATAATTCAAATGCCCAGTGACCACAGAAAGCAGACATTCCTGATCACTAAAAAAGTAGTTTAAAGGAAAGTTAACCTACAAATGAGCTAAATAATTTCTGCAACTCTGAAATGCAGCTGAAGATCTAAGCTCTATTTTAAACTCTTAAAAATTTTTTCTTGTTGACTAAATACATCAAGGAGTACATATTGTAAGGGGGGGATTAGAAACCATTTTTTTTTTAAAGATGAATATGGGCAGTGGCAGTGGTTGTACAACATGGTTGCATTTAATGCCACTGAAGTGTATAAATAAAAAATGGTTAAAATGATAAAATTTAGATATTATACCATAATTAAGAAGTGATCTATCTATCTATATTTTATAAAAATAGGCATTAGGGCATCATAATTAGCCTAGTAGAATTTCATTTAAAAGTCAGTTAAAACATCTTATTTCTAACCCCCAAATTGTCATTGTTATTAACTCTCTTGTCAATTTCTAATTTAAAAAAATAACTATTACATAAATATCACTGAAGATGTAGCTTAATGGTAGAACACACCTGAATTCAATTCCTTAAACCACCCCTCTAAAAAAAAATTTTGCTATACTTCTGTATATTACTAGAAGAGGAATTGCCGAGTCATATCATAATACAACTTTTTGAGGGACTGCCAAAACTATTTTCCAAATGGCTGTACTATTTCACATTTCCAATGGCAATGAATGAAAGTTTTAGTTTCTCCATATCCTCAACACTTGTTACCAGGATTTTTGTATTGTTTTGAAAGGGTAAAGTTTCTAAGCTGCAAAGCCTGAGTTAAAATGTAAAGGACCAGGCATTGTAAACCTGCTTCTAAACTGCAAAGCATGGGTTAAATTCCTGAGGCAGTTAAGACAATGCTCTACTGGCCATTTAGTTGATTTATAGCCTAGGACTCTGTGTAGCTTGTCACGTAAGCATTCAAGACCCTGTGCAGCTTGTCATGTAGGTATTCAAGGCCCAAACCAATCAGTTTGAATGTAACCCCCTCCTCAGGAATGACCTATCACTCCAGCCTGACCTGTTCCCGCCAATGAATGAACTAGTCATGTTTAGGAGTTGTTGTTTGATTTTCCCACGGTGTATGATGATTTGTTAAAGGAGACTGTGAGGTATGTAAAGTCCCCGCCCTCCCCAAGAAGTGTACTTAAGCAGTGCTCAGCCCCTGCTCTGGGCTCTGGGCTGCTCTCCTTTCTCGAGTGGGCATGGAGCCCCAGCATGCTGGAATCTCAATAAACCCCTTTTGCTGTTGTATGAGTCGTGGTCCCTTGGTGGTCTCTTCCTCCGATGTTCGCCGGACCCTTACAATTTATTTTGTGCTATGCCAGCTGGTATTATGGGCTTGATTTGCATATTATTAATGACTAATGCTGAACATCTTTTCATATGTACACTTACTTGTATTTTCTTAGAAGCAATATCTATTCATATTCTTTGCCCATTTTTAAATTGGTTTTGCCTTTTTATTATTTAGTTATAAACATTTTTTATATATTCTGGATACTGTTATAAATATTTTCTGCCATTCTATGGATTACCTTTCTGCTTTCTTAATAGTGTCCTTTGATCCCCAAAGTTTTCAATTTTCATGAAGTTCAGTTTATCTATTTACTCTTTGGTCATTGTGCTTTTGATGTCATATCTAAAAATCACTACCTAGTTCAAGGTTCTGAAGATTTATGCCTATGTTTTCTTGGAAGAAAAGTTTATTAGTTTTGGCTCTTTCATTCAAGTCTATATTCCATTTCTAGTTAATTTTTTATATGGTGTGTTATCCTAATATTAGAGGCATGACAACTAGGCAAAGAGAGGCTAAGCAATTTTCTCAAAGCCTCACAAATGCAAGAGACTGATACAGGATTCCAATCTAAATGATGTGGTGGCAGAGTCTACAAACTGACACACAATTGCTATGTTAATATATTACAACCAGAGCTTTGTTCTTTTGTCAAAATAGATGAGTTAATAAATTAAGCAGTGTTTGTTCTTTTACTTGTGAGTGAGAATGTAGTGGAAAATGCCTAGGGAGATATCAATACTACTCCAAAAAGGGTCCTCAGGTTTCTGCTTTAACCAAAGTAACATTGCAAAGACACATAAAAATTATAAAAGGCAAAACCAAAGTTTACATGCTATAAATCAACAAATTCTATACTAGAAATGTTCTATAGTTTTTACAATTAATCCATTGCTTTCAGTAAATTAAATTACAAGAGAAAATGGCATGAAACATTTCCTTTTCTCAATATACAAGATCTATGTTCATTGATTTTATTAACTTACTAATAAGTTACTAAACTTATTATATTACATTCTGTGAAACTGTGTCTTTAAAATGTGACCATCTTCAAACTATAATGTCTATCTATTCTTACTAGTTTGTATCTCTAGAAATTTCACTGAAATGGTTTATAAGGATATCTATTCTAATAATAGCTCTGTTTGGTCAATAACCTGCCATTTCACATGAAGGTTCAGGGATATTCAAATTATTAATAACTTTGGCAATGTTAACATAAACATAGGTTAAGACTTGTTTTTTTCCAGAATTTTCTATTACAGGTTTCTTTTTTTAATATTTATTTTTCAGTTTTTGGTGGACACAATATCTTTATTTCATTTTTATGTGGTGCTGAGAATTGAACCCAGTGCCTCACTCACACCAGGAGAGCGCACTACCACTTGAGCCATAACCCTAGCCCCATAGGTTTCTAATATTCAATATAAAATTCTATCTACCTTGTATCACTGATTCATTAATGATTAAAATCAACTAATATTCACAAAGAATTGTGTGTTATACACTATGTAAATGAATTCATTATGTCAGAGACATTTCAGAGCAGTTCATTAAATATATCTGCTCTGCCACCGTTTTTTAAAAAAACAATTTCATCTAGAATAGAGTATTTATATATTTCCTAATTCCATTTGCCTACTCTTTCATTATATATACAATTTAATAAGGTTTGTTGCAAAAGAAAAACATATTAGTTAAATGAATAGCAACTTGCCTATTTGCACTTTCTTGCTGACTCAAAACTAGATTTTAATTTGTGCTGCATGCTGCTGTTAATGAAACTGTCTATTTAAAATAACTATTGAAGTCTATAACATTAACATAATGGATACATTCTCCTAGAATCTTAACAGAGCCTTTTTTTAAAAAAGTTAACTTGAGACTTTGTAACAGATACCATTCTTAGAAGGTTGTTTTATTTTTAAAATTTCTAACTGGAACATTTTATAATTTTGATAAACTCTATAATCTAAACCAATATGTACAACTTTGCCAACATAAAAAAGTCATTTGAGCTCAGAAAAGGCTGAAACTTCAAGCTTAATTTTCTTCCTAATAGCTCCAATTACTTTGTATTATCACCAGAACCACAAATTCTACAATACTGGCTACATATAATCTGTTGGTGACCATTGAGGAAAGCTCTCCAGAAACCTCTACCTTGAATATTTTATTATTTTATTTAATATAATAATAAATAATATTTATTATTTCATTCACCCCTAACTGAGAAGCATACAATGCTTCCACTACTCTGACATCTCAGAACAGGACCAAAGCAAGTCACTTGAATATGTACTTAAAAATTATACTGGCAATTATTTGTATGATTCACGCTTTCCAAGGAATTAATAAAACTAATATTAGAAAGTTGAACAATAACCTTCTATCAAATTTGATTGTCTTAATATAATCAAAGTAAAAATACTTTCTAAAATACTAAGATATGTGAGTGTGTATTTTAAAAAATCATTTCAAAACATGTTAAATGATGATCATTTTAATGTTTTGTTTTGAATTGAAATTATTGAACGTAGACTATATATTCTGAAAATAAACACAAAGAAATGAAATTGTTTGTGTATCAAATAAATAAAACAATGTTACTGAAGAATAAGAAAAAAAAAGTAAGTTCTTCCCAGGATCACTATTATCCTATAAACCAAATACAAGGTCATGAATAAATTTTTCAGAGTATAATGTGTTCAAAAATTGTTGAGTCCTTTACTATCTTAAAAAATGACTAAGAGAAATAAAAGAAATACTTAAAAAATAACAAGTCTTCTATATATGAAAAAAACTAACAATACATTGAGTATAAGTAGAACAAGTTCCCGTCAAGAACAAACAGAGACGTAAAGGAGAATGCTTCAGTGCAATGAAGCACTAGAGCCACATGCTAAATGTTGGTGCTGGGAGCAGGAGGATGGGATGTAAGTAAAACAAAATATTAAAGTATCATGTTATTAAACATTATTTTTCTTTGGAAGCTAAAGAATATACTTTTCATGCTCTAATTCAATCCTATTATAGAAACATTTTTCTGCTTAGCAGAGAAGTAACTGAGATTGGAAATTCAATTCGCAAAAAAAGAGAAGTAACTTTGTACAAAGAAGGAAGATCATAACCAGGGTACCTGGGTTTACCTTTGCTTTTCGAAAGTGGTAGACCACCATCATGCTGATGAAGTCAAGCAGCATACACAGGGCTTGGAAGGAGATGATGGCAAGTCGCAAATACTTATCCTCCTGGACAAAGCATGGGCTGTCATCAGCACAGTAGGGGCAGCCCTCTCTGCAGGGTAAGCAGACATGGGTTTCTTCTGATACATCTTTTGTAATTCCTGAAAAATGATGATCTGGACCCCTTCCTGAAAGTTCCAAATAAAACCATAGTGTTATTTGCACCTCTGAGGTAGGTGAGACAGAGTACAATGTCAAAACACATCTTTGCCTCTTTATTCCCATTACCATTTATTATAGACCTTTTGTCAACTCTCCTGCTGGGAGAGAGACTTACTTTGCTTTTGAACTCAAAATTCTTTTGATCCCTTTGATTTTAAAATTGTCATTCAGAGTGATTGAGAAAAATTAGCAAAAATGGGAACAAAACTCCTTGAGGGCAGAGAACTCTCTACTAAGTCTCTTATATCATCATCTACCACTCACCACATGATGATACTCCCTAAAGCACAAATCATATTCTATACATATTCATGAAAGAATTAACTAGAAGAATGACAAGAAAGTTGATGTATTTTATGTGCCAAATAAATATACTTAGCACTTTTTAAACTTTTTGACCTAGATGGCACAGAATCCAAATGAGGTTTTGATTGCATCTTAATTTGTCAGGGATCTAATCTACCAAGTTCATTAGGTCTAAATTGGATAAAATTGTACTTAAACAACAGTTGTTCAGTGTGCAATTGCCTAATGATGGTTCATCCTTTGGGCAGAGTACAATCCGTACTTAAAAATTATCATGTTATTTCACACTTTCATAGGATATTTCCATGCTATGCACTAAGTGAAGCTTTTGAGCCTCCATTTAATTTTAGATTATTCGTAAGTTACTAAACGTAAGTTAACTCTGAAGGCCACTACCTAAATGTTATCTTTAATTACTGAATTGACTTTAGCACCAACAAATGTCCAACTAATAACATATACTAAAATACTCAACTATTTCCAACTATGAACTCAACATAAAAGATGTTAGTGAACATGTACATAGTCCAGTATACAATACAACTCTGTTTACTTAGGAATTTGAGGAAAATGTTCTTCTGGTTAAGAGTGTTTTGATAACAAAGTTTAACAGAAAGTTTTTATTTCTTTAAAACTTTTTACTTTTTGAGGGGGGCAGATATTAGAGATTGAACCCAGAATGATTAAACACTGAACCACATATCCAACCCCTTTTTACATTTTATTTTGAGACAAGATCTCACTAAGTTGCTTAGGACCTGGTTAAATTGCTAAGGCTGGCTTTGAACTTGTGATACTTCTGCCTCAGACTCCCAAGTCACTGGGATTACAGGCTACCATGCCTGGCCTATTTCTTTAAATTCTTGTTAAAGAAATCTTTCTAAAATATATTTGTCTGTTTTTGATCAGTAAATACAGTTAAAAAAGTATAGTTGAATATTTCTTTGATGATTCAGGATATATTACTATTTAAGGCTCACTACTCTGTTACACAGTGAAAAGTCTAGGATTTTAGTGCCAAGTAGACATGGTTCCCATCCTTAGAGAGCTCTGACATTAAACAACTCACCTGGGCCACTTTGGATCTTAGTTAAATTATTGATGAAATATTAATTACTTTTGAGATTAAGTGAGGTTATTTATGTAAATTGTAATGACTGGCTTTTTAGTCTCTTCTCTAGACAAGGTAGATACAAAGAGGAATTGGGAATTCAGCAATACCTTAAAGAAAGCTATTATTCAGAAAACAAGGAAAGTAGAAGAAAGAAGTAAGGTGTGGAAGGCTGAATGAGTATGCTAAATTTCATTTCAGACAAATTAAATTTGAGGTCCAACTCACAGTCTAGTAGAAATAATTTAAAAAGTGAGAAATAATTCAAGACTGGATTGTAGGAACCAGATCAGTGACACAGAAAGAGCCTACAGAAAGATCCAGGAGTGGATGAGATAATGGTTGGGAAATGTGAAGAGGACGACACTTGAAATAAAAGTATTTACAATGTCAACACAGAAAACTGAGACTTACTGGATAATGTTGGAATGCAATCAAATACGATGAGTGGGAAAAGGCTAGTAGAGAGTTAAGGATCTTATCCTTTGTTGACCTTTAAGATGGTACATTCCAAAGACTGGTAGGGATTGTAATTAAATTTTCAGGGTTTAAAGAGTAAATAAAAGTAATCAGATAGACTATTATTTCAATAAATGCTCAATTGAATGAAAAAAATAAGAAAAGCTTGTGGTTACTAGGAATAAAGATGGTATAAAAATAGAGTTTGGCTTTTTTTTCCTAACCAAGTGAAATTTGAATACAATGGTAGTCAGCAAAAGAAACCATGACAAAGTTGAGGGCAGATATGGGAAGACTACAAAGAAAGAATGTGAGATATTAAGATTGAATATAATCAAGAGTACAATTGGAGAAATTAACTCAAATACTTATCTCTTTTAAAACTGGAGAGTAGGGGGTTGGGAGAAGACGGCGGCGAGGGGAGTGCATTGCCCCCATGTGCTGCGTCACTGTGTGGGAGAATGACGAGTCAGGACTGCTAAAGGCTATCTTGTTAGGAATTTCCAGCAATAGTGGGGTGCTCCGGAACCTGGAGGAAGGATTTCCATTGCACGAAGATCGGCTGCAGGGACTCAAACACAAGAGATTTGTCGCACGGAGGGTAACACTGTTTATTCAGCAAATCGCCCCGCGGCTAGAGTCTGCGGCGCGCGCTGGGAAACGAAGAGATAGCAACGCAGGGATACAGTGCTGCAGTTTCTGCCAGCCGTGCAAGCACCGTACTCAGTGCTGAATTCTGGGTTCGAGATGGGGGAAGGAAGCAGTCCAATTCGGTTCTCCACACAGGTCAGATCACAGAGGAGGCCAGCAGCCACCATCTTGGAGATCTGACGTCACCATCCCTGTTTTCGACTGACCGCAGCTCATTCAGCCATAGAACAGGTAATTTCAGGCTGCCATTTGCCTGCGGCTTGCAGACAGATTACTCAGGCTCAGTGCTAGATAACCCACGGAGACTGCTTCTTGGAGCCTGCTCTTATCGGAGCATACACCGAGCACGGAACGGCTGAGTTCCGGCTCCTGGAACTGCTCTGGCCCAGGGCTAAGGAGCCCGCAGAAACTGCTTCTCGGTCCGGGTCCTGCTGAGTACTGTGGAGGTAAATACCAACCAAGCCGTCGTGGGCAGAGGCAACAGGACTGAGACGGGGCCTGTGAGGGCCGGTCAGGACTCACCGGTTTCTTTGGTCACCCGGCAAAGGGAACGAAGTGCTGCCATTCACATAGGATACCAACATGGCAGAGATCTGATGTCATCAGAAAGCGGCGGATGAGAGAACTTCATCAATACCAGCGGCGACAGAAACAGTTGGTCTCCTGGTAGGGAGGGTGAGTCACAGACACCCAAGTCTCTCTCGCTTTGTCTTTGAGCCAGAGGGGAGGAGCCGGGCTGCCGCCTGTGCCCGGAGCAGGCCCAGTGGCTCGCCGGCATGGTGGTCGTGTGACCCCAATTGGAGAGGGGGCGGAGTGGAGCCGCCACCCGCGCCCGCAAGGTGGGCAGACCTGCAACCGAGTGGTACGCGGGCGTGGTAGGAGGGGCAGGGCAGAGCCACCGCCCGCGCCTGCAAGGTAAGCAGACCTGCGACAGACTGGCGGGTCAGGCCCAGCGGCCTGCCAGCGTGGTACACACGTCACCCCAACTGGAGTAGGGGCAGAGCAGAGCCTTCGCCCGTGCCCCGATCAGGCCCCGCCGGTGTGGTGGTCACGTGACCCCAATTGGAGTGGGGACGGAGCGGAACCGCCACCCGTGCCCGAAAGGTGGGCAGACATGCGACCGACCAGCGGGACAGGCCCAGTGGCCTGCCGGTGCGACGTCACCCCCTTTGGAATAGGGGCAGAGCAGAGCCATTGCCCATGCCCGCAAGGTAGGCAGACCTGCGAACGACCGGTGGAACAGGCCCAGCGGCCGACCGGGGTGGTAGGCACGTCACCCCAATTGGAGTAGGAGCAGAGCAGAGCCTTCGCCCGCGCCCAGAACAGGCCCAGGGGTCCGTGGGTGTGGTAGACAAGTCACACCATTTGGAGGGGGGGCAGAGCAGAGCCGCTGCCCGCGCCTGCAGGGTAGGCAGACCTGCAACTGACCGGCGGATCAGGCCTGGTGGCCTGCCGGCGTGGTACACTCGTCACCCCAATTGGAGTAGGGGCAGAGCAGAGCCGCCGCCCGTGCCCGGAACAGGCCCGGTGACCTGCCGGTGTGGTAGTCACGACACCCCAATTGGAGTAAGGGCAGAGCAGAGCCGCCTCCCGCGCCCAGAATAAGCCCAGCGACCCGCCGGCGTGGTAGACACGTCACCCCAATTGGAGTAAGGGCAGAGCAGAGCCACCGCCCGCGCCTGCAAGGTAGGCAGACCTGCGACTGACCAGCAGAACAGGCTCAGGGGTCCGCGGGCGTGGTAGACACCTCACACCAACTGTAGGAGGGGCAGAGCAGAGCCGCCGCCCGCGCCTGCAAGGTAGGCAGACTGCCGCCCGCGCCTGCAAGGGAGACTTTTCAACTATACAAGAGCAATATAAATATATAGGGGAAAAAAACATTTCAAAAACACAACAGTTTCACCAAGCAGAAAGAAACGCAAGCAGTATGAAAAGACAAGGAAAGAAAGGACCACAAGCAATGCAGGTCAACTCAACTTTAGAAGAGGTAACAGCTGCAGCAGATGGAATGTCAGATAAAGAATTCAGGATATACATGCTTCAGATGATCTGGAGTCTCAAGGAAGACATTAGACAGCAAAATCAGACAATGAAACACCACTTCGACAATGAGTTACAGAAACAAATCCAGGAAGCAAAGGATCAACTATACAGGGAGATAGAGGTTATGAAAAACAAACAAACAGAAATCCTAGAAATGCAGGAAGCAATAAACCAACTTAAAAACTCAATTGAGAATACTACCAGCAGAGTAGAACACTTAGAAGATAGAACATCAGACAATGAAGACAAAGTATTTCAACTTGAAAAGAACATAGACAGCTCAGCAAGACTGTTAAGAAACCATGAGAAGAACATCCAAGAAATATGGGATAACATTAAGAGACCAAACTTAAGAGTCATTGGGATACAGGAAGGTACAGAACTCCAAACCAAAGG